GTGTGTCTGAGATTATCTGGGATGTTCACCTCAATCTGTGCTCCCAGCAGCATGGAATATACATCACTCCAATAAATAACTTTCCAATAGAGAATATAAACAACACTAAGGCAGCCCCTTCCAATGCCTGACAACCCTTTCCCTGAAGAAATTCCTCCTGATGTCCAACCTGAACTTCCCCTGGCACAGCTGGAGGCTGTTTCCTCTCATCCTGTCCCTTGTTCCCTGGGAGCAGAGCCTGACCCCCTGCCCTCAGCTCCAACCTCCTGTCAGGGAGTTGTAGAGAGCAAAAATGTCTATGGAAAGTTCTTTTAAAAATTATTTGCAGGCACTGAACTCCCACAATACTCTCAATATAAATCACCTGCTGTGACACAACTCACCTGAGGGGGTGGGAAGGTAAAAGTTGAAACCTTCATTCTCCAACTGCTCTGAAAAGCATCATTAAATGGTGATTTTCAGGGATTTCTAAATGCTCAAATCTAATTTGTCAAAGTTTTCCCTGATTAGCAGTCTTTTGTCACCTGTTAGATCATATTGAGGCAAAAAAGATTGAAACTTTGAGGCAGAACTGAGAGTCTGAGAGTCTGTGGGAATCTCACTGGCCTGGCCAAATAATGTGATTTAAGGTGCTGGAATCAGGTGGGCTGAGGGAAAGAGCAGCTGCCCAACGTGACCCTGGCACTGTGCTTTGGGCAGGAGGGGGGAAGGAGAACTTCTAATGAGGGGATTGAAATGGGGATTATCTCAACGAGCTGTAAATGACTAACAGAAGCCAAGGGGTCACTTATCACTGCTGTGAGGAGCCTCATTTACACCTGGGGAAAGTGTGACCAGTGTGTCAGATCTGAGGAAATGCTCACAGGTTGGGATTACAGTCACCCAGGTCTGTGTTCAGCCGAATACCGACAAAAAAAGGGGTTAATATTCTTAAACTGAGTAATTGGCTTCCCAATGCTTTCCTGTAAACCGGGCTCCTCCGAGCTGGGAGCAGCAGCCTGAGAACTTGGCCGTGAGTCATGAGGTGCCCCTAATCCCAGGGCTAAAGCTGACATGACATGTAATTGGGTTTAAATGCTTCCATGGCTGCAGTCGGGTGTTTCCTCATCATGCACATAACTGGCTTGATTGGCTGAAAATTTGTACATCATGAGAAAAATCCCCACTGAGGTCACAGGTCAAGGCCTGTCCTGAACTCTCAGTGTCCCGAAAATGAAAGTAAAAATCCCTGGGGTTTCTGTACCTCTTTCAGGGATTTCTGCTTCACTTCCCCACTCTCACCTTTCCAGGGTAGAAAATCCTGTCAGATCCTCTAACACTCGAGGCATTTCAACAAATAATTTAATTGCAAGATGATGCTGAGAAAGTATTTTTCAGCCGTGATTAGCACAGATCCTTGGGGTTAGCAAGGAAGTTTGAAGATGCTGCTCAGTTCCTCAGCATTTCTAATTGTAAATTGGGTGCTAAGGCTGAAAAATCCAATGTCCTCATTGACAGTCATTTTAGTACATGTTTTAAGTGTTCAAAAGTTGGTCCAATGGCTTATATCCACAATTTTTGGTGCCTTAGCTCCATTCCTAGCAGAGGGACGTGCTTTTCTTAAAAGCCACTGCTTGGCATTGTTATTTCTATGATTGTGTGTGACAGAGATCACCCCAAGAAAGGATCTTTTCAGAGCAGACACATTTTGAGAAGAAAATGGAGG